AAATTATGACTGTGGAAATTATGTGTTATACAAAGTTGTATCGAGAAAGAATAAACTAGTTTTAATCAAGAAGGGACTTGTGTCGTTGAAGTTTCTCGGAAAGAATTTATACGGGAAATTAACAAACAAGCAGATACATAACAATATGATTAAACGATCCCTGTACTCACAAAAACCACCCGTATAAATTGGTTCAAGAGATACAGAGTGCCCAAATGTCTCAATAATGTTAACTTCTGCCTTCTTAGGTTGTTTGATCAGTGAATATTTAAAATTCGTGAAATTGAAGAAGCAATAATAATTAATATTAATTTTGTCTAGATAGATGAAAAATGATTAAAATACGAATTGAAAATATTTTGTAAGTCTGAGTGAAATGCATGTTTTGACACCAGTTATGACAGAAAGCTTTGAAAATCAGAGCATTCTCGGAAACCGGAACATCTATTCAACCTACTCTAATGTCATTCAAATAAGTGACAGATTTATTTCTAAAGAAAGAACTAGCATAATAGCGATAACGCATTTCTTTTTTAAATAATTATTTTTAGATAATGTTTGTTTTAACGCAAATCTAGAGAATGGGTTATTTGCTATGTGTTCGCTACAGGGATCGAACCCCAAACATCACGTCATAAGGTCTCAATATTACCGATGATCCACCTGATCTTAAGAGCTTATAAATTAAGTAAATAAAACCATTTCCGATACATGGCTGTAATGCCAGATTCAAGACAGCGTTATCTTCGTTTACTCGTCACGTTTTATGGTAACATACAAAGCAATTACTAGCAGGATGAAGCTAACTGAGCAAAAAAATAATAATTCTCACCTTTATTAATTATCTATTACTCGATAATATATGTGTAAAATAGGTTATTTAGTTCTTATAAATGTATTTGCTTGACATAAAGAAAATAAAAAAATGGAAGGTCCGAACACGGGTTCCCGCAATTATTTTTTGATATCTACCCTTCTTCCTTCTCTGTACTGCAACCTGTGTAATACATTGTATAGATTGGTGCATTTTATAACTATGAGTTTTGTGTAACCTTTCGACATGAGCAAAATCCTCATGGACGTCACCTATTTCAATAACAATCTCTGCACATGACGGAATGAATTTATTTCTAACCTGGTAGAATTGCTCGAGCCTAAACTACATATTTTAAATTTGATATTAGTCCCCCAGTATCATTTTCTCTGCCCTGCTCTGGAACCTGCCGGACTTGTTTGTTCTGCTTGACTTTTTAAATCCCACTAGCCAAAAGTAGGACCAACCTCTCCAAAAAAATATTAAAAACAACAATATAACAAATAAGATTATGGCGAACAGGGCTAATAATATCCATTAACACCCCATTTGAGGAAAGCCCATTTCCTTTAAAAACTAAATTCCTGTCACGAAAAAAAAAAAAAGTATCTCAGTTGTATATCTGACGACTCGTACTGCTACAACCCGGGTTTCGATAACTGTGATAGGCACGACATTGATAGCCCATTGTATAACTTTGTGCTTAACAAAGCAAAATTGATATTTCAAGTTTATTACATTCTCAAAGAACTCTTGAATGTGAAAACTGTGATATAAACGAGGTATTTTTTATTCTATTTAGAAAAATTTGTGACATGTATACAGTGAATATAAACTAAGTTAAGAAAGTTTAGCCTGAAGTTTGACATACTGTTTCTGAAAGTATATTATCTAATCATATTTTCTCAAGTGGAATATGTAATTATAAATAATTATTTTCTTATATTCAAAATGATAAACAAAAAAAAGGAATCCAGGAACCTGTAATAAAAAGTTTCTCTAAAACGCACCGAAGTTGACTCAAAAGTCAAATATGCTTTGAAAGTAAAATTATTAAAACAGTCTGTAGATGGCGACTTAGTATAATACGGTTCCAACCATTATTAATCGTAACAGGTTTTCTTTCCGATAAAAGAAAACGAAATTTGCAAATGAACTATTAAAATGAACAAATCTTTTCAATAAATTTGTCATTATACAAAACTTTTGAAGTTTGTTTTTTTCTGTTATGAAAAAAAAAAGAAAGAAAAACTGGTATAAGTGCATCTGATTGTAAAGTACTTGACTGTAGCAAGTGTTTGTGTTACACCGCCGACTTCTCTTCACAACCATAGCATAAAGTTAACTAAAGATTAAGGCTAACTAAGCTATGAATATAAACACCAAGGTACTTATAAATAACATGCTGCAGATGACAAATCTTGCCTTAAACAACAAGGTTAATTATTAGAACACGATGGTATTAATTCAGTATATTTTACATGACACAAACAGGCCACAAGGATAATACTTCCAATAACACAGTTTTTTTTGCTTCATTAAAAGATAGAGAAAATACGACTTTTTTTCTGATTCGTTTCAAATAACACAAGCTGGAAAATTAAGAACTGTTAGTACATTTCTTTTACAAACAAAAACAAATCAATGAATTCTTTTAAAGTAATGAATAAAGTTTGTCAAAAGTTTTTCCCACTTTGCTTTTGTATTTTCTTTCAAACCATCTAGATTGCACTTTTTCACACTACTAGAAACTTATTTTAAGAATGTAACAATTTATTTATTTATTAGGTTAATAGCAAGCAATTACACTATCCTAATGATATTTTGTTCTATATTTATTTTACAAAATTGTAGTTTAATTTTCCTTCGAAAAGTAGGCCCTTTAACTAGGAGCACTTCCAATAAGAAATCTTTCAATAACACAAATGTACAATTTATTCTTGAAAAAATAACTGCTTTTAATAGACATCTTAACTTAATTCACTTCAAGAATGAGAAAAGGAAACTCCTAATAATGAAAGTATTAATATTATGTCACTCTTTACTCTAATTGAACACACTAAAGATCAGAATAACTGTAAAAAGTTTGTTGATATGATAACTGCTAACATACAACTAATCATCTAAAGTAAATTCCAATTTACCCTTTCAAGTTTCATAAACATTTTATTACACAAAAACAAAAACGAATAAACTTTTGCTCATGTTACTTTGCACATAAATCCTGACCCAAAATAGCTTGAAAGTTAAAAAACTAGCATAACTTGAACATAAAACTAATCTAAAATGGAAGTGTCAAAGATTGAAATGGAAATAAAAACAAAGCTTCTTAGTTACTGTCTTTCAGCCAGAATAAAAAAAATTGTGTACAAAAAAGAAGAAATAATAATAAAATCAAATGCTGAACTTGCACATTTGAGAAAATTGTGCGTAACATGTAAAAAAAAACACCATACACATTGTGAAATAAAATCATATGATCTTGGAGTTAAAAAGTTATGAATTACATTATAAAGCAATATAAGAAAATGAAGTTAAACACTTTGAATGAAAACAATTGAATTGTAATAGGTTTAGGTCTGTTGTAATTAATTTTTGTCAGGTACTCTATAGCACATTCAGTTGTATCAGAACAACCATAAAAAAGTTCTGTAATCAAGGTGAATACAGAAAAGCAAATGATACTAAATAAAGCTTTTACAGTTCATCCATTGCTAAGTGCTATATTTTCTAAAATCAGTTACAGCACACACAGAATAAATAAATACTATAAAAAAGAAGTCATAAGATACTGGACTTTTAGTTTTCAAATCTAAGATAAAAATGATTACATTTGTTGTTTATACTAAAAAGATCTTGAAATGTAATTATATATATTTATATATATAAATTTGCTATTTGAAGATTAGTAAACTTTTTTAAATTTCACATAACTTGTCAACATCTGAAAATTACATCGAAGCAAGATTATTCTCTTTAGAACAAAAATGTTATTTTCCTACACCACAGTTCTGCAAACAGCTTCAGTGATTGATTAGAGAAGTTAATACAGCTACCAGTAGTTTTCTAAATACATGATGTACTTTACTGCTATCATTTAAAGATGTCTGGCTAAATTAAACACCATATATTTTAGTGGTAATGACATTTATTTGGAAAAAATAAAGATGATATTTATCTATGGGATCAGGAAGGACTGATGTAGAAATGTGTAATGAAAAAATATATAAATAAAAAATTAACATTATTTCTGTTATTATAAAAATAAGACAACACATTTAACTCTCTCTCAACACGTGTTAGGTTATTCTCACTATGTATCCACATCAGCTATTAACATTTTTTGTTTCTGTGGTATTAAATAAGGAATTTTTTTAAGACACTAACACAAGGGTTGCATAGCTGGAGATAAATCTTCTTCCCAATAGCTATGGTTCTATCTTGGTGATGGAAAACTTAAATGTAAATCTCTTGAGTCTTAACACAAGATAAGTAAAAACTATAACATATTGGGTAAAAAGATAAGCTGGTTGAGGTCTATTATGAAGAATTTCCTAATCTTCTGTTGTCTCATAATGAAATTTTAATAGTTAATCATCATTTAAGATTTTTGAGTGACTGTATTAGTTAAAAAAAAAAAGCCTAACCTTGTCAATATATGTGTTAAATTGTGCAATTAATGAGTGGTAAGATCAAATACTATCTACTCACAAATAAGGTTGTGTAAACTTTTAATTTGGCTTTTTTGTTGTATTGTAGGTATTTTGTAAAGTAGATTTTTTTAATTCAAACTTGATATGATTTGTTATGAAAATCAGACATTCCAAACCATTCTATCAATTAATCTAACTTCTTCACGTGAACACAAAGCTTTCTTTTAGATTTTTAAACCTATTTGAAAACATAATTTGGATTTACAGTAGAGTTAATAGCTTCTGAGAAATACCATCTCTTTATATGATTAAGTGATTGAGAGAGAGAAAAAAAAAGAACATCTCTTTTGTTTCACTTTGATTTTAAACACCATACAGTATAGCATGTTTGTTTACTAAATCTTTAACTCTTATTTTCATTCAGCATTTCATACAAATAATAAACATAATTTCACTAAAAGTTTACATTTTCCTCAACTGAAAATGTATTTCCGACAGACACTTACCTCCTTTCACAAAATAGCTTTTCTCGGTTAGTACTGCCCTCAAGTGTCGCAAATTTTTAATGTTCATCACCAGCCTTCCACCTCCCGCTTTTGCATATCCACATGTAAGTAATTATGCAGCAGCTCTCCACCAATAGGAGCAAAGTCACAACCACTAACACAAACAGCGCCCTCTCCACATTTGCACTCATTAATCACTTTGAGATTGGTCAGAAGACTAGGGTAGGGAATTCACAGTGGCCAAGGCAGCAATTGCTGTCGTCTATTTCAATATGGCCATAATGCCCTCAGAAAATCACTAAATTCCATTGCCAAGATGATCACCTTTTGGTATTCCAGACCCACCAGGAATGTACATCCAGAGGATGGTAGAAAGGAGGAATACCACTGTGGGAAAAAGCAATCTGTCGTATATACATATTAACAAGTCACTGTGCTAGAACCGAAACCTTGCGGTATCTGGAACAATATCACTGCCCTACTCTCAACTGAGTGATATGATGCATCACTCAAAAGGACAAGCCTCCATGGTCCACCACCCCAGCAGCTAGGAACGAGTGAGAGGCAAGGACTCCCATACTCCACTAGAAGAAAATATGGAAAAATGCATTGGGGAGTCCAGAAGACCACATCACCAGCAACAGTGCTATGGGTGACTGTGATACCCTATTTTGAAAAGCAGAGCTACCATGTTAATGGAGTCAATCAACCAACACCCGAAGGCAACTGGAATTGTACATCAGTTCTGCAGTAAGAAGAATCTCAATGCCACAGATCATCAGAGATGGGCAGCAAATCCTTTCTGTGTGTCCATGAGTGTATGGTTTGGGACGAACATATTTCCAAAGACCACTAGAGAGAACTACTAGCAGTTCTATGGAGCACCTCATCTCTATGGTGTGCATAACCTAATTCTGCAACATAATTGTTTCAGCATGGATAACAATTGAATGGAGACCTGGTAGCATTTGGAATTGTACATGAGGTCCATGGTAGGAAAGGCTACAGTGTAATTGACATCAAGCATAGTCAAAGGATAGGCAGTGCGGGTTTAAAAAAAAGTATACCTGGTCAGGCACTACTCACCACAAAGTGGGATCCACAGTACACTAACAAAAAGGTCTCTGCAAGTAAAGAAATAACAAAAACATAGTAAAGAAGAATATATTCTATAGTATAAAGGAAATCATCCACAAATTTGCGAGCAAAAATAAGCATGTCTGACCAGTACCGCTGCCAATCAAGAAGTGATTAATGAGTGCAAATGTGGAGAGGGCACTGGTTATGATAGGATGTGTTGCACTCCTATTGGTGGAGAGCTGCTGCATAATCATTTACATGTGGACATGCAGATGCAGGAGGTTGATGGCTAATGGCAAGCATTGAAAATATGCACCGACAGAGGGCAGTACTAATCAAGAAAATGTATTTTGTGAAGGGAGGTAAAATATTGTATTGGAAATAAAAATATCTGTGAAACTACATGCTCCATTTATGGCATGAGATTTCTTAACTAATCATTTAAACTCTACTAAGTATCAAACATTTTTATATTGGAAATCTTTACAGTTATCCAATAGATTTTGTGCTACTTAGGCACTTTTTAATTAGATTATCACAACAACGCTAAAAACACATTTAGCCACATATTTTTGGTTTATGTAAAGGATGTGTGTAATACTAATATGGTCTACCAATTTAGTAAAATATAAAACAAGATTTTATTTGATTCACCACAACCATGAACCTCAAACAAAAAAAATGAAGTATTTTTTATTTCACATAAGTAAATCAGTTTAAGTCATATGGCAATTATAAATACTACAGCTTAACTTACATAATTAGCAGACAAAATAACTTTTATACTTAATAAAGTTAACCCCCACACAGAAAACTTAGTTTGTACAAACTACATTTATGACATGTTTCTTATATGTTGTTTTGAATCAATAAAAAAAAAGGAGGTACAAAAGACCTATTATAGGGTGCAACGTTACCAGTCCCATCCTCAATGTATGCGTGTGGGGGATAAACTTTATAATATTTTTCTTACTATCTTTTATTAAACTTATAGCATGCTGATTTGAAAGAAAACCAAAAAAACACAAGCCTAAAGAAGAAAATTACTGATGAAAAAATTTCACTATCATACAGTAACTTCTTTTTCTGAAAATTTATTATTGAAGAACACTGTTGTTTTCTAATACTACTTTTTTCTCATTTTTAAAAATCATATTAAAAACATGGGATTATTCTTACACTGAAACACATGTCAAACCTAATCCTAACTTACCACTACTTGATCATTCATTTTTTAAAGAAAATAATAAAAATGTCTTAGATTTAGTTTAAGTTAGCCCTAAAATCAGTTAATATAAAGGACAATGGTACATTATTCTGGAAGAAACTGGAAGAATGGTCAACTAAATAGCACAGAGTTACATTATTTTTACATATAACTTTCCAATGAGTGAAAGATATGAAAAGATGGCTTTCAAATCTCTGATGTTATGAGCGAGTTCTCATGTACTTCTTTGCCAATATACATCAGCAGAAAATCAGTGTCATTTTCCACCAGTCTGCTGCTGGAATACATCAATAGTATCCTCATCCTCCATTTCTAGTCCAGCTGGAGTGTCTGTTTCACTTACTGGCTGACCATCAAAACGAAAACGGACATTCTGAATATTCAAGCCCTGTCAGGTTTTTTATAAAAAAAAATAAATTATATTTTTCATTTCCCAATAATGTCACAATGTTTATTATGCTCATGTAATACTTCTTTACAGAACCATAAAATAATACTTTTCCATTTTTAATAGAACTTTTGCAAAAATCAGAATTAAAAGAAATAATCTCTAGAAAATAAGTCATTCAAAAACAATACCCGATAAACAAAAATATTGTTAAATACCAGTCCAAATAGCATGCCAATACAATAATGCATTTTAGTGGAAGACTGAAAATTTACAATAATAATGGACACTGCACAAATGGATTAACACAAACAAATACATGATATTGGAAATGTTTAGTTCATAATATTTTACCAGTAAAAATATAACTATCTTCTAATAATGAATAGGCAAAACTAAGGTATGAAAGAGTAAATTTTTTCACTTGTCTAGGTCATACTGCTAACGGTTTTGAACTACTTGCCTGAATGAGATTTTTCACTTGTCCCAGACAACTGTTAATGTCCTGTTCTATTGGGTTAAATGAAGCTCCTCAAGAAATAATAAGAGAATCACATTTTGGAAAGAAAATTGGTTTTTCTTGATAGTGAGTCTTTTATTTTATTCTTATGTATTTTTTGCCACAACTTCTAAAATCTCATTAATTACATCTAGTAATGGAAAGATTCATCCATACGGAGACCTTTTCATGAGAAAAACCATACGTGCAGTGATTCACATTCTCAACTGAATTTGCCTTTCATGTATAATTAGATTTGAACATGTGCCTATATGTGAGCATGCAAGTGCCCTAGTCAAACAAAAAGGACTGCATAAGCTTTAACATAATACTATATATACTCTACTCATTATGCTACTAAAAAACTATTATTACAATAGAAATGAAAACAAGTAGCTTACATGTACAAACATTACATAAAAAATTTATTAAAGTTATTCTATTAAAGTAATAATTTGAAAATTAATTGCAATGCTTATGAGAAAACAAGACAAAATGTGTTTGAATAATATGGTCCTCAAATTAATTTTGGGCAAATAATGCTTAATACTGGCATAATTATTGTTTACAAAGTTTTATCTCTTGCTTAAATAATTCTAAGATGTAACCAGAATGTAACTTTTGATAGTATTTTTTTTCTACAAATTTGTTAAAATGAAATTTATTTATTTTTTTACACATGACAATTTTCACTGCTTCCACCATAAGTATCCATAATTAGTCATGTCACAGCAAAACGAGTTAGTTATTTGAATTGCATGTAGTCTACAGCCAACTGATCAGTTTATTAGTCAATGTTTTGTCACAGTGAAGTTTACTAATGTGTAGTACGAAAAGATCTGAGTGGCTACATGTATAAAGACTAGTTAATGGACGATAAGTAAGAATTGTGTTGTAAACGTGATTAATTTTTTAAAAAACAATCCAATTTTTCATAAATCATTTAACCATTTTGCTTAAATGTAAAATGTTGTATATAGATTACCAAATATTTCAAAAGCTCTATATCCATAGTCAATAACTATGGATGGTAACTGATATGGTTACACTTAAGTACCAACCTTGAAATCTGATAAGTTACATTTTTTTTTTGAAATATTAAGTTTTCTTAATATTTAAATTCTGTAAAGGATCTTGGTTTAATTTTGATGAATATGATATTAATTCAGCTCTAAAGTTCAGAACATAACTAAATTATATTAACACCTACATGGTAAACCATGTAAAGTAAAATTTTGATTGTATTTCATAAAACAACACTGATAACTATACTTGAAATTTAATATTCAAATCTAATTACCCAGTACGTTGATTAGCAAAAGTGTCATTTAATATTTAGAACAAATCCATCTCTATACTTGCAATTATGAAGAATGAATTATGTTATATTCTAAAGTGGGGTTCAATTTAACATTCAAAGTATATAGCATAAGTTCCAAAATGGTTTTCAATTATTATAGAAACAAAAATAACATATGGGCAACAACAGACCATTTGGTCCCTCAAAGGCTGTCCTAGCACACCCACCCTTGGGAAAATTAAAAATCCAAACCCTGGAAATTATCAATTCCCCTCTGTTAAAGTGCTGGTCTTCAATACTGCCGATGACAACTCATTTCATAAGACAATAAACCTGTTAGAAAAACAAACTGTCTTTACTGGAGCCTAGCCTGTCCAAACCTTAAACTTGTATCCTCTCATATTATAATCTTCAGAATATAGCAAAAAGAAATTAGAAACGTTTGTCCTATCTACCTTTCCTATCCCGCAAGTAATCTTAGATACAACCAGCAAATATAAGATGTATTAATTTACTGTCATAAAGTTCCTCAAAATAAACCAAAACTTCTGTGGTTTTTATGGTGAGGAATTATCACTTATTAGACACATATAAAAATGTTTTTTATATGGTGAAGAATAGAAAAACTAGAGGAAACACTTCCTGGTCAGGATTTTAAAGAAAGAATACACAAGACAGATGCATTTTACATTTAGTACTGTTAGTGGTGACAGATATGAGCAGTTAATACACTGTGATAAAAAAGTTCCTTAGCTATGTGAAAAACAAAAATTATCGAGTGACACTATCATTTCAGACAAGAAATTTTTTGCAGGAAGCAAGGATTATATTAATGTAGATATACTTGGATTATGAGTTAAACTCGTTAGATCTGTGGAACAGAAGGGTATAGAAAAGTTGTTTGCTTGAATGGGATCAATTTAAGTATACTGTTAAAGCATGTGTTTGATGGAGCAATTTAAGATGTCAGTGGTGAAGGAAGCTGTAACTTTTGGAAGATAATGTCTTGGCTTTCAGAAGACGAGGCTAGTAAATTACAGTAACAAGTTCAGTTTCTTTTACCTTGATTCACAAAGTCTATGTAATAGGTTCATTATAATATTATTACCTTTGATGTTTTAACTGAGAAATTTTGCAGGATTAATAAGAATTGTCTCAAATTTGATGAGAGATTGGATGATTAATCTAAATGAGGGAAAAAAATGTATGAAGAGTGTGAGAAATTTGTTACAAGTTAAACTATCTGAGAAAGAATCTATTTTTTCCAAAATCTTACAATCAAATAGAAAATAAATTTCTAAATATGCGAGTTAAAGAATAAAATAATTAATATTTGTAAAATGCCAAGCTTGTTTGTTTGTAGTTAAGCACAAAGCTACACAAGAGGCTATCTGTGGAAGCAGTAAATTTAAGTGAGTTTAAGAGAAATCTTGATAACTATATGAATGATAAGGAATGGCTTTAAGATTTTTATTTTATTATATATATATATATTTCATTTATCAATTTGTTTTAATTTAAATTAGAGGATGGGTCAGCCAAGATGGTCCAATAGATCCCTTGTTATCCCTAAACATGTTAGTAATGTGTTCTACTAGCTAATGTGTTTTGTGCCCACCATGGGTATCAAAACCTTGTTTTTAGCATTATGAGTCATCAGACTTACCACTGAGGACCCAAAATGAAATCTTACATGAATATAAGCTTATTTTTTAAATGAATCATACAAAAGATGGTCAAAATAACTGAAACAAGAAAAATAAAAACAAAAAGTTCAATTCTCAAGACATCTAATATTAATAAAAAGGACTATGAAAATCTTCTAATTTCAAGTTATAAAATTTTTTCAAAAGAAGTTTTATAATTAGAAATATGAAATCAAGATTAAACTGAACCTTTAAAAGATTCTAATATGAATGTTTTTATGGAGGAAAGGAACATGAATAAGTATTATTTACATTTTTATTAATGAGTAAGAAGATTACAGAGATTTTAAATGTGGTCTTTTTAAGTCACTAGACACTGAGGAAAGTTCTGAAATCTAAATGATTATTGATGTGACTGATATTTAAAAAAACAACAGAGCAGTAAAGATGAAGATGGAAATTCAGTTGTTTGAAATATTTTAATAGTCCATTTTCAGAAATCATTCATGAAAACTCCTCGCAAGATGATATTACTTAATAACAAATGTTAATCATGTTTTTCTTACAAGATTAGTGTAAAAAATAGGTTTAAAAACTTGATATTTTTTTGGTTTTGTGATTACTGGAGTCCTTTAGCAGCTCATTATGAGTTCTTTGTTCTTCATAAATTCTGCCAATAATTTGGATTATAAAATTCTGTAGAGATTGTTTCTTTAGGTCAGAAAAATCTGAATGGTATCAGTGATTTTGTTTGATTGTTGTTTACACAAAGCTACACTATACACTATCTGTGCTATTACTAATGTAGGTATCAAAACCAGGTTTTTAGTGTTACCTGTCCTTAGACTTACCACTGAGCCACCACAAGGTTGTATAAACAAGTGGGCATGAACGTGAAAAATTACTTACAATACTGACAAGTGTAACAACTAAGTTAGTTATGGAAATTTGGAAAAATGACATTACTTGTGAGAGAGGAGCACTTCTTTTATGGACATAAAAAAGTGTAAGATATACATGACTGTATCCTTATGAATTTAATTCCAGTGTTATGATTTAGATAGTTATCTAGTGCAAATGTTAAATTTAGTGATAGAAGTGATAGTTTATCACAAATTTGTTTACATAACTGTTTAGGAATCATACATTGTGTAGTTCAATCATTATGAATTGGTGATCATTATATTATTGTGGTATGTTACTAGAACCTTCTGAGTTTTATCATGTATCATAAAATCTAACAGTGTGTGGAATGTTCTAGACTTCTGTCAGGGTATAAATAAGCATCAGAAATTTAGTTTGATAGATCTATGATGTGTGATTTTGAGTTTAGCCATAAAGAGCAAATAGTGGTGATATTTCTAAAGTGAAATTATTACAGTGTATTGTAATAACAGAGTAGAGAAAATAAAATTTGTCTTGTCAATTCTGTTCTAAGGTAACTGAACCAGCCTGTGTGGACTTTGATGAAAAATAGACAATTATTTAAAGCTCTGAATACAACTGTGATAACCAACAGTGTAACGAAAATTTGTATATATATTTAACTTGTTTTAATATATTATTTTAAAACAAGTGGACTGTGTGCTGTTTGTTTCTTATTGAAATTTATCACCAACAAGTCACAGACACCTACTGTAAAGAATCCAGCCAATACATACATAAAACCTGATGAAATGGATGTAGATTTCATTAATATTAAATGACTGAAACCTTCAGGTTCATTTTAGCTGAAGTAAAAAAGATAAATAATGTTTTGAAATTACTTTTAAAAAAAAGTATTTTAAAGAGTAAGGATGTTATTGTAACCTTATGTAAGATTTCATCTAGTGCACTATTTGCAGATTTGATCCCACTATTACAGCAAGAACATTAATATGCTGAAGAGACAAGTAGAGATGGGCTATTAAATTGACACCTGAAAATTTGAACAATTAAGACAGGCTTACAAACCCAACAAGTGTCTCTAAGTTCCAGAATTAGTAATCTTTTGATTACGATGTTCAAAACTGTTAAAGTTTGGTGAGACTGCTGATGGAACGCATGTTTGAATGATGAAATAATAAACTTGGAACTGTAAACTTTAACAAAGAAAAATATAATTTAGATATGTTATATGACAGAATGTACTTCTATAAAAGACATTATCTTATAGAATAGAGTTTGTCTGATGATATGGTGTGCTGTTAATTTAAATTCATTCAAATTATTGTTGGGTAAGCATATGGATGAAAAGGGGTAGATTTAGTTTAGGTTGCTTCCTTTTGTTGTTGTTAGTTTGTGTGACCTTTATTGGGTCAAACATGTACTTACCACAAATGCTGTTTATATGTTCTTTTTTAATGTTTATATAACTAAGAGAACCATTTAAGCAAATCTTATTATAGAAGTAGTGTGCTGTAATGTTTCTGATAAGGCTAGGCACTCGCACAAGATTCTTTAACTAGATGGATGTAATCAGTTCATAAAATTTTTATTCTTCTATAAGGTTACTTCGATATAATAACCAACTAAACAGTATAAGTCTGTCTATCTTAAATATGTATTTCTCATATTATAATGAAAACTAATCAATGAAGGAAATCACAAAGTAATTGCACCTGCTTAACTAAAACCACATGTACCATGAGAAAACTGGATGCTCCTAGCAATAATATTGCTATGCATGCTCAGTGCTAACATGAATTCTGAGGCATAATATATATATACTCTATAATACCACAATTAGTATTTTATAGTAGTTTATTGTATACTGTAACTAGAGATGGCCATACTTCAAAAGATAGCTGGTAAGAAAAATTAGATACATTATATATAAGTGGTTGTAAACTAATTGACTAAGAAGACATACGAGGCCTGTGAGAAAAGTATCCGACCTTTGGCCGGGGAATAAAAACTGGCATACCTGGAGCTTTGGAAACCTAATCACCTTCAAAGTAGTCTCCTTGGGACTCCACACACTTCTCCCAGCAGTGCCGCCATTGTTGGAAGCATTCCGAGAAAGCTTCTTTCGAAATGGAGTTTAGCTGTTCCCCAAACTCGAGTGGCCATTGAAAGGAACGCGATTTCAGACAAGAGAGGACATTATGGCTGCA